GTTCTAAGCCACATACACTCCATGAGTGCAGTTGTGGGTTTAAAGGTGAATTTGTAACATAATACCATGTCACAGGTTGATGCAAGGGACCAATCTGAGCACGCTTCTGTCACCTGTCGTAAGCTGAAGGTGATGAAATCTGTTGTAACGTGGCCGAGGCCATGTATTTATCGAATGTGCCAACGGTTAACTTTCTGCCAAGACACATCATTTGTCGACCTGGCACCAGGAGGTGGCGATAATATCTCTTAACTTGTCCAGTGTCCTTATCACAAGACACAAGGCACCTCTACAGGAGACGAGACTTTAATCTAAGCCCCTTTTAATAAAGATATAAAATAGTTCTTTGCTTAACAGTTTAAGAACAATTAAATTAAACAATAAATGTTTTATCTAAAGTGTTTTAATAATGCCTGACTGCATCACAGTGATGAATGAATCAACATAATTGTTTATTCTTGAAATAATGCTTTATTTCAGATATTGAATACACCAAATGAGTCTACTTGTTGAATGTATTAATGATTTATTCATCAGTATATTCACACATTAAATGTGGTCCTCCTTGGGCTGCCAGCTTACTGTGGTAGAGGGGTTAGAGTGTCCCAATGATCCTAGGACCTAAGTTGTCTGAGGCTTTATGCCTCTGGTAGGGTCACCCATGGCAATCAGGTCCTAGGTGAGGGATCAGACACAGAGCAGCCCAAAGACCCCTTATGAGGAAAAATATATCAGGGTATCTGCATGTTTAAGGGAGCCAAATTTAAGACTTTTTAAGACCTTTTTAAGGCCACTTTGACCAACTTTAAGCTATTTTTTTTTTATTTCATTTAAGCTATAATTTCCAGCTATTGCCTGGAACCGGTGCTAGCCACGTCGCAAACGTGGGATTAGCCATCCAGTTACCATTAAACTTGCACTTCCCCATGGTGCAAGCTCCCACTAGCTTAACCAGCTAATGTGCTCATCTAAAAATAGCCCCCTTTCACAACCAACTGAATGTGTACGGTTCCGCTTACGCCAACATCGTGTACAAAAATGCTGAACACTAACTAGAAATTCACGAAAATTTTATAAAATAAAAATATCTTGTTTATTGGGTCTTTGGTCATTTAAGACCTTTGGAAACTGTATTTAAGGATTATTTGTCATTTCTAAGGATTTTTAAGGCCTTAAATTTGGAAAAGCAAATTTAAGACTTTTTAAGGACCCGCGGATACCCTGATATATGCAAACAGTGTTCCCTCGCCCGTATGCGGGTCATCAGTGTTTTCCTCTGGAGCCAGGCCTGGAATTCGGGCACATTGGCGAGTGCACGGTGGCCAGGCTTTCACCCATGGAGCCCAGCCAGGCATAACCTGAAGAGGAAACGTGGATCCCCCTTTCCATGGGCTCACCACTCGTGGGAGGGGCCAAAGGAGTCGGGTGCAGTGTGTGACGGATGCTAGCCGAGAGTGGGACCGTATAGGGTGTGTTCCAACTACAGGGGGATCACACTTCTGAGCCTCCCTGGTAAGGTCTATTCAGGGGTTCTGGAGACGAGGGTCCGTTGGATTCAGGAGGAGCAATGTGGTTTTCATCCTGCTCGTGGAGCACTGGACCAGCTCTATATTCTTAGGGGGGGTCCTGAATGGTGTGTGGAAGTTTGCCCAACCTATCTACATGTGTTTAGTGGATTTGGAGAAGGCGTTCGACCATGTTCCACAGGGGACCCTTTGGAGGGTACTTCAGGAGTATGGGGTACCAGGCCCTCTGATATGGGTCCCTGTCTGACCGGTGGCAGAGATTGGTCCGCATTGCCGGCAATAAGTCGGGCTCATTCCCAGTGTCAGTTGGATTCCGCCAAGGCTGCCCTTTGTCACCTATTAGTAAGTAAATTTTATTTATATAGCACTTATCACAGACATAGAATCACAAAGTGCTTCACAAAGATCAAAACAAAATAAACAAAGTCATAAAATCATAATGATCTCAAAACAAATAGATTCACATCAGAAAAAAAAGTCATAACATTTAAAAAATTCATAAATATATGAAAGATTACAAACTTGAGGTAAAAAAAAGAAAGATTTAGGCAAAGCAGTTTTAAATAAAAGGGTCCAGGCTGTCGATACTACATAAGGATAAAGGAAGATCGTTCCAAAGTCAGGGTGCAACAGTCTGGAAGGAGCGATCACCTCGACTTTTATATCTGGTCTTTGGAACCTCTAGAGTCTAGAAGGTTCTGGTGTGTGGACCTGAGGGCTCGGGTTGGAGCATAAGGCTTTAACAGTTCAGTAATATAGGGAGGAGCTTGACCATGTAGAGCATTGAAAGTTATAATCAGGATTCTAAAATGAACTCTAAAGTTAACGGGTAACCAGTGCAGAGTCGTCAGAATAGGAGTGATGTGTGCTCTTCTGTTTGCTCCAGTTAGGAGCCTCGCTGCAGAGTTCTGGACCAACTGAAGGCGGTCAAGGGCTTTTTGTTACTGTAAAACATGTGAAGAGTGTGTTACAGTCATCTAGACGGGAGGAGATAAAGACATGGATAACCATTTCAAGTTCATGTTCATGCATCAGTGTGTGAAGGGTTACCCACAGTCCATTGCTGCAGGTCGAAAGGCTCAAGTTCCTTTTCTGAAAATATGTATTTTCTAATGAAATTAGTTAATTTTAGGATAATTCATTGATGCTCTAAAACTTTTATGTGCCTTTTTGATTAATGACATAAAAGACGAACACAGAATACAGGAAACATTTTAATATTTAGCTGTTATGAGATTATCACAAATTTGTTGTCAGATTATTTTAACACATACAGATAATATTTGTCCACAATAATGTTCCAGTTCCTTCTGGTAAACATAGAGTTAATGATTTCCTCTAATATAAATATTACAAGCAAACCAGAGGTTAGTTAACATTAAAACCATAAGAAACTGTTTGTGTGGTAAATGGAAAAAATCAAAACAATTCATCTTAAAACAATGAACTCTTACTAAAAACACTCCCAAGTTTTTTTAAATCCAGTTCAAATATGTTCATGGATAGTTTGGTACGTATAATTAATTCCCTAGGAGAATTTTATTAAATGAAAATATTTTTAAAGTCAGATCTAATTTGTACTTTCTGTTGACTTTATGACTTATAAGCAGATGAAATATTCTACTGAGACAAAATATTTCTGAAATATAAATTTTCTAAATTCTTGAAGAACAGAAAAATTGATTAATTCCAAATCACAAGAATTCTCTCAAATCAAATCCCTTTTAGACCTTATAGTTTATTCCTGACCTTAGAAGTGTGAACAACTAAATGAAAGAATCATTAATAAGTTTATTTAAATCACCCTCAGACTCAGTTAAAATACAGGTTCCTGGGAAACTTCATTTTTCTGTAAATAACGCTTTTTATGACCCAAGATGTACATTTAAATACAAAAATCCTCCATTAAACAAAAAGATATAAGAAAAAACAAAAGTATGAAGGCAATCCAAAATCTATAATTCACAGCTACACAGCTCAGTTTGAACCCCGGTTTATACACGTGGTTCCTTTATGGCACAAAGAACGGAGGAAACAGCAGGTGAAGTTTCTTCTCAGCTGGTTTGTACCTTCAAAATAAAACTTGTTGGAGAACTTTGTTATGCTTCATCATAGTCAGTTCTACAGTGTTGTTAACAAATTAACACCATCATCTAAATGATGAATGTCTTTTATCAAAGCCAAACTAAAAGTTGTTGTTTTTATGTTTGTATTAACTGCTGTTAAGGCTGGAAACAACGTCTCTGATTCATGAGTTCTGATTGGACCACAGCGCTAAAACACACATTTTTTTTAAAAGACTTGCTTGTCTATAAGAAATGTCCCCAACCCTGCATTTGTCTCGGTATGTCCACAAATGTGTGCACACTCTGTGGCTGATATCTTTATGTGAGCAGATGTCTAACGCTGGGAGGGGGGACGGGCTTAGCAATCAAATTTGATGTATTTCCTACATTATGTCACAGAACAGGATAAAAGTTTCACTTTTACAGATTTCTAAAAAAATATACCTGAAAGAAGGAAAGCTCTTGCTTCTTTAATGCTGCAGCTGTTGTGTTAACCAATATGTACCGATACTATATATATTTTCTTAACACTTTACAATAAGGGTCCCTTTATTAACATTCACAAAATTGTTAACTGTGTGTCCGATATTATCGGTTTACCAATATAATCTGCCGATATTGGCCTTAATATTGAATTCCAGAAAATATGGGTATTGGTTTTTACTACTTAGTGACCTAACTTTTACATATGTGCACATATTACCCATCATGCATTGTAATACATTACTTTATATTTACATTAATAGTAAGCAGTTGTTAATACTTCATTTAATAATTTATTAACGCTAAGTAATGCTAATTAAGTAACATTAATAAAGGGTTCATTTCCCCACACTTTCAACACCATGTAAGTGACCACACCTGCTACATTGCCTCTCTGTTTCAGTTAAACACCCCCACACTCCTGTCGGTCAAGTGCACTGGTGTGATAATCAGTGGCATGTCATTCTTTCCTGATTTATTAGTGCAAGGACTGAAGAAGGGGTAGATGTTTTCAGTGCCAGGTATGTAAGCTAAAACATCTTTAAGTTCCAACAGAGCGGCTGCATGTCTGAAGTTGCATATCCGGTATTCTGGCCACAGTGGGCGGTGGGGGTCTAGTGACATTTGAATAACCTTGTAAAGCAGGGCTATTCCATTCTGGGCTTGATGGGCCGGTATCCAGCACGGTTTAGTTTTAACTCTGCTTCAACACACCTGATTTCAACCAGCAGTAAATAACAGGCTTCTGCAGAGCCTGATGAGCTGCTGCTCAGGTGATTCAACCAGTGTTTGAGCAGAGAAACCAGTAAAACCAACTGGATACCTACCCTCCAGGACTGGAACTGAATACCCCTGCTGTAAAAGGTCATTTTAGCACATACTGGCTCAAGAAAATTATTGACATGAAAAAGTTGCATAGTATGGCTTTAGAGTCCAGATGGAGTCTCTGGATTTGTTCCATCATCAGAAACCTGCCGTATTCTGTCCTGTACGTGTCTACTGCCCTCTGGTGGTGGAGCTAAAGGTGACAGGGCCCTATTTTATTTCTGCAGTACTGTTATAAGATTTCATAATGGAATATAATTGTATTATATAGTTTGTACGTTGACTTTGAACAAACATTCTTCAGTTTTGAATGCTTGAGTTTATATTTCAGGCTTTAAAAGGTTCAGTTCAAACCAGCTGTGATGATAAAAGTTGGAAATGCTTGACTGGACTGGTTTTAATTTTACTCGGTATTCTCCTTTTTTCTCACAGGTATGGCTACTTTGGTCGTGGAGTGTCCCTGATGTTCTGCAAGGTTTCTGGGTGTTTAACAGATGGGAGGATATTTCTGACTGCATCTGGAGAGGACATGGTGTCCATCCACACCAAAGACACCACAGGAATCAGGAAGCTGCAGAAAGATGATGTAGAGGTGGGATCGTCCAGCTGTATGAACATCCTTGATGACCTTTGTGTAAGTCTCCTTGTTACCCTCTGACTCCTTCCTTTAGGTGCTGCTGCTGACCTCTAGTGAGGACCCTGTGGCCCAGTTGTTAGCAGATAAGCTGAAGAAGCTAACGGGGTGTGAGGTCATGCAGGTGGGAGAGGACCCACTAAGTGATGTGTTGCCAGTCGTGAAGGAGAGGAATCTGGACTGGAAAGATGTAGCTTACATGGGTAAAGCTGCTGTTCCTTATTTATGTACCTGTGGAGGTTTTAGCATCATTGATCTCAACATTCAGTTGTGTCACAGCTCTGACCAACCAGGAACTCGTCAGCTGCTGAAATCCGTTTCATAGTGAAGGTATAAAAGCATCATAGTGATGATAATACATGCAGCCAGTCCCTGTAGTAAAAGCAAACATTAACCTGTATGTACCATGGGCGTGTCGGCTTACTGGAACAGTGCAGCCATTGCTATGAAACACTGGAACCATGTTTATGCCCGTGTCTCCTCCCAGGTAACGACACAGCTGACAGCAGCTGTCTGAATCTGGCGGGTTTGAGTGCAGTTCCTGCAGACGCTTCATCAGACGCCGCCAACGCTGCCAAGTACACCTGCCGCCTCCTTGGGGGGGCGGGAGCCGTGAGGGAGTTTGCAGAACACGTTCTCCTGCAGAAGGAGAAGGCAAAGTCCCAGATGAAGCAAGACCGAATCGACCGCACCAACTTCTGATGTAGAACAGTCCAGATTTAGAAGGAGCTGCAGTGGAGTTTGCTCACATAAAGAAGTCAGATCATTCACACTCTTCAGGGTAATGTGACACGTTTCAGCCTCCTGTGGTTAATAATCAGCTGCCGAGACTAAAGACGTAAACGAGAAGCGCCGAAATGATCAGGATAGATGTCAGTTTCATTTTTATTATCCAGCTATAGTTTTATTACTGCTTTGTTTGTTTTAGCAGTCAGAGCTGTTGGCAGCTTCTCTGTGGGGTATTTATAACACTTTAAGATTCACATCACCAGATCCTTGTGAACAAACAGCAGCCTTGAGGTTTTCTTTGATGTTTGAGATAAAAGTTAACCTGAGAGCTCAAATCACCGGGTTCACAATCACCTCTGAATCCTGATGTTGGTGCTTTGGCCTCTGGACTAAGTCACCAGATGAGAAGCAGCTTTTAAAGGTGCAGAGCAGGTTTCTCTGGAATGTTTTTGCCACATTGCTTGAAATGCTCTTCACATACTGATGGCAACAAGTGAATTAAATGTTTTGTAAAAATAAAAAAGAATGAGTTTAATCACCTCTGTAACGTATCACGGAGGAACCTCATCCAATCATAGTGAACGTCCCATTATTAATTACTGGATCATGAGCCATCCATCAAGCTGTCCTCCCTGGCCACCCCTCATGCTCTTCACTTACCCCTCCATGTGTGCAAATTCAATTCAATTCAATTCAAAACTACTTTATTAATCCCAGAGGGAAATTGTGTGTTCTTGACTTGGAGCAGCTGGGCTAGGTAGTGGAACGGATGCAATGTTCTGTTCAGTTTGCATATTTCTTCAAGGAGTATTATTTTACATGTTCTGTTTAGAGTCTTTTCTTAAAGGGAAATGTTTAGGTGACGGAAATGTTTCCTGTCAACACACCTGGTCCCATGTTGGCTGCCAGAGCTGTCTGTCAGTTTGTTGCCTTGGCAACTCACGTGTGGGTTAAGGGTAGGTTCTAGAAGTTTTAATCGATTGCTCGTGGGGTTTTCTTAGATTGCCGTTTGTGCGGTGCAGATGAAGTTAAGAACAACTGATCTAAACTCGTGAACTGAACCCTCAGGAACAAACACGCGTTCTTCTGTTCTGGGGGCGTGGCTTAGGTGGGGGTCACCTGAGGAAGGGGGAGTTGGATTTTCAAAAAGGACCTTGCTTGATCAGCAAGCAAAAAAAAAAAAAACATCTACTGCTCCTTTAAAGTAATAATGATACCAGATTATTTTATAACTACATTGTTGACCTTTGACCTCATCTGTGCTGTTTAATATCTAGCTCGTAACTTTAAGGTTGTTTTCTGCTTCTAACTGTGGGTCACAAGGTGAAATTCTGCTTAAGACACCCATGTGACGGTTGCTGGGCCGGCACTAGTTAAATACACGTTTATAATAAAAACATGGTAGCTAGAAAGAATGAGCAGATTTGCCTGTTTACAGCAGGGACAATCCTGCTGATAACATGTCAACATCCTTTTGTTGTCTTGTTTGTGTTTGTTTTCAACCCTTTTATTTGTTCTCTGAGATGTTTTAGCGGTGGCTGCTAATGTGAAGGTTCTGTTGTTAAAATCATTGATGGCGATAACTGTATGTTAAGAAATTAATCTAAATGTTGTTTTACATTTATTTACTTTCCCAAAGGTGGTTCTTGCTTGGAAGTGACTTACTTTATAATTAAATGAAGGTATTTATGTAATAATTGTGATTTTCATAAGTTTAAGCTAACAACATCAAAGCTAGAATGAGTGAATAAAATGAGAATTAAAAATCTAAAACTGAAAAAGTGACTGAATATTATTATTATTATTGTTGTTGTTGCTGTTGTTGTTATTTTTGAATCTGATACCTAAATCGTTACAAGCAAGCAGTATTTTTGTGACCTTACCAACGGATGCCCATTAGGGTCAAAAAGTCTGGGGAGAGCAAACTTCAGCTAAATAACAAGCGCATCATCAATGGCAACAAGTGGAGGTAAATGTGTAAAACAACAGCGTTTAAACATGGCTAAAGTTTTGTAACCATTACAAATCAATGAATGCATTTTTATACATTTTTACATGAAACAGTTCTCATCAGATTAGGAGGAAACCCAATCCGGTTCAGACTGGATTGAATGTGGACCGAAGAGAAGAAAGAAAAGTGAGAATTAGGTGAGTTAGAAGTGAACATTGTTCTTGTTCTCCTGTCAGAGTCTCTGAGAGCTTCTCTCTGTGGATTGTTGCTTTGATTCACCTTCAGAACAAACTGCTGCATCACGTCTCACTTCCTGTTTGTCTCTAGAAAACTCTTGACTTGGTAACCTGTCTGAGTGAAACTCTCCATCTGACTCTTTAGTCCTGATTCTTTACTGGTGAATCCCAGTCAGTCTAACTGGTTCCTCTCAGACTGACTGAAGAGGAAGATGGACGTTTCTGTGGAGGAAGAGGAGAACAGAGCAGAACCTCCAGGACCCAGCTGTCCACCTATGAAGAGCAGCTCCTCCCCGTCCAGACCTCCAGACCTCAGTGGACCTGGACCTTCAGACACAAAGTAAGAAAAGTGTTTCTAACTGATCCATTTGACTCCTCAGACAGAAAAACAGGATTTCTGGTGAATTCTGGTAGAACTGATGAATTAGTGGAGTTCTAAAGTGTTAAAAACAAAGTTGAGCAGGTGGAATTGCAGCTCTTATCAGAGCATCAGAAACAGTCTTTACTCTGACTTTCTGTCAGTTGGTTCAGTTTCTATCTGGTTACAAAGACTCTTGATGCTGATGGACAGTTCCTCTCTGTGTCCTTCAACCAGATGAACACGACCACATGACTGATGAAGGAATTCTTCCAGATGACCAAGCAGCTTCGTCTCCATGGAGACAGCTCTGTGGCTGCTTCCCTTTCTAACTGACTGATGAACTCTCTCAGCTCAGATGTTTCAGACTTTGCAGCAACTGTCCCAAAATGATGAATCCTGCTCTCTGCATGGGTAACCCAGGTGGACATCTCTTTATGTGTTGTCCTCTGAGCAGAGCCTCGTGTCTGCATCAGCTACCAGGCTGTTTCTGAAGCTGAAGATGAAGTTCTCGTGTAGTACTGCTCTCCACAGGCTGCTCATCCACTCTCTGAACTCCAAGATGTTATTAGAAGTTGACCCACATGTTCCCAGCTGCTGGATGATGTTCTTCTGGAGCTCCTAGACAGACTCACTGGATCCTGCATTGACTGTTTGCTCAGACTAGTTGTTGTTCACTGGTTACTTGGAACAATTAGTCTGGATGTTGGAGCATTTGAACACTTTTAGTGTTGCTGCTTTCAGATCAATCTTTGACCTTTCTGTGGTGGGTTGTTCATTGATGTGTGATTCTCTTTAAAGTGAGACTTCATGTTACTAAGTGCATCAGATGAGATGTTAGTGAGAGTGCAGACATAATAAAGAGGGAGCAAAGTGTCAAAGCTAAACTCTTAAATGCTACAATTCACTTTATTCTGGCCATGAATAAACTCCCTTTGCAGGGCTTCACTGGAGTTCATCAGGTCCAGATTAGACGCTGTCAGAGTTTATTTCCATTGCTAAAACCTTGAGAGGAGAAATGAACTCTTTAGCTGATATCATCTGACTTTGCACGGAGTTCATTTCTGTTCTCAAAGTGTTTAAAAGGACAAACAGTAGGAGACAGAAGTGAGGAGGGAAGAGATGGAAATTTTTATTTCTTCCTTCTGCCCCTTTTCATTCAAATTGTTTGGTGTTTATGCATGTTGTTTTTCTCGTTGTTTATATGCGTAACATGCTCAATAAAACAATCAGGATAAGCAGTGAAATCATCGGTGAGGAGCAGCAGTCACTTACCAGCACACACAACACTTCAGTTCTCAGAAAAGGCACACAGATCTCCACAGACCCGTCACATGCTCTCCACTCCCATTACACCCAGTTACCATCAGGCCGGCGGTTCAGGGCCCTCCCAGTGAAGACATGAAGGGCCTCCTCCAGCTTCCTTCCCTCTTCAATCCGCCTGTTAAATAGCATGCCCCAGCAAAAATGACCGTGACCAACACTACGGCACATCTAGATTGAACTAGTAATCTTTTAATATCGTGTTCCTTTTTAAATTCCTTTAAGCGTGTGTAGATGTGAGTAGTATTTTAAATTGTGTGTATGTGTGTGTGTGTTTTGATGCTGTTTTTATGTGTTGTGCTGACGCTCTGACTGCAAATGAAGTTCCTAACGCATAAATAAAGTCAAAATATTTATATATATATATATATATATATATATATATATATATATATATATATATATATATATATATCTCCTTTCTTAACACTTTAAATGAAACAATTGAAGAGAAAATAGAGAAAGTCTGGAAAGTTTATTTACATAGCACTTATCACAGAAAGAAATGTCACAGAGATCAACTAAACAAACATAAAATAATCAACAAACAAAACAACGAAATATCATAAAATAAATGGAAAAAATAATATAAAAAGACAAAATGGCTCCAAGCCTCCTAACACAATAAAAGCCTTTAATAAATTATCATAATTTAATAAAACAAACTTAATATATGAGAAGTTTGTTCATTTAATTTACCTTTAATGATACAAAAATGAACCCAAAAAAACTTATCTTTGAGTTTTATGGATCTGTGTCTCCCTCTTGTGGACATTTAGTGAAACTACATGTTTGCCCCTAGATGAAGTCAGTTCTAAAAACCACAGAATAAACTTTGTTTATGAACACTTTAAAACTTTTAGGATTTTAGATTATTTACAAAATATAAATACTGAGCTTTGTAAACATGTAAGAATCTTAGTAAGTAGGTAAAATGTATTTATTTATTTAGAACCTTTAGTGATAAAAACAACAAAGTATTTAATAAATTCTGTGCCAATTTAAACATGACTGTAAATAATTAATATTTTTAAAACAAATAAAGCTAATTTGTAAGCTGGATAAACAGATCAGAGCAGAGTGATAAAAGCACCTTGTTCCATCTTAGACTTCTGACCAGAGTG